AGGAAGGGAGGAGGTTGCGTGTGGATATCTGCCTTGTAACTAGCACTGCCAGGGAAATGTAACTCGGACAGCATTGTCTGTTACCCCTGTCGTACATGGGGATGGTCATATTGGTGTGTCTGTGACTGCGATGCTCACAAAGGTGTGAGGACACAGTCTGGCAGGAGTAACAAAACTATATTAAGCTCACTTCACTCATGTGATGAGTTTTCAGACCAGCCCATGAAATCAGTCAGCTCTGCCCTTAAATTACAACATTACAATAGAAACAGGAACTGTTACAGTGTCACCCTGAGATGTGACTGCTGAAGCTACTCGCAACTATTCATATTTCCCATGATGATTTGCTATTACAAATATAAATTCCATGGCAGAGTGACATCCCTCCGCACAACGCTAATGAAGTTTAGGCTGAAGAGCTCAGAGTAATGAAAATAATATTTTTCTAAGGAACTAATGTACAGGAGTGAAACTGCCCAGACTGGATTCCAAGAGGAGTGAAACTCGGGGGAACAGGGACAGTGGCTGGGACACACGGATGAAGCGCTGGGCGGCTTTACGCAGACACAGGAACTGAGACCGGATTCTTTAAACACTCGAAGCAGATGTGAAAGTGAGAGCTTTGTGGGGGGGACTGTAAATATTTCACTGGATCAAGTGTCCTTTAGCAGCTCAGGTTAGCAGCTCAGTAGCATCTTATAGGGGGGTGGGGGAAGAGCGGCCTGTCCGGGCTCTGCGATGCACTGGGCCTTTAAGGACACGGCCCTGGGAAATGGGAGCTGAGATCCTGGGAAGGGGGGAGGAAAACGCCCCTCTACCTCCCCCACCTTGTGTTTTTTTTTTCCCCCACCACTGCAGCTGGCTTAGCCCATCTGGGGGAACTTTTATCCCCTCTGCCCCTCATTAGTCCCGGGTTTTCCTCTCCGCCCTGTGCCCCGGCTCTCACCCCCCGCTCCCCCCGTCGTCTCTGTCCCGGGCTCCCCCCGCCCCGCACACACCGGGAGCTGGCGGCA